TTTTTTTTTTTAGTTTGAGCCAGTGAGAAAAACAGACCCAAGAATGTGAAAGATAGCTGGGCTATAGCTTCCAGTGCCGAATATGATTTTCCCTTAGGGCCCGGGACACGTCTAGGCACATGGCTGGCTTGAAGACTACTGACGTTTGTCCCTGAGTTTGTTCTTTACACTGAGGTGTGGCTGGGCCTGGCCACTTACCTTCAACTTATTCAGTCTGCTAAGAGCTAGGGATTCTTTAGCTTTCTACGGAAGAAAATTTTGTAGCAAGGGATTGAGACAGTAAGAATAGCATGCTAACGATGCCTGGTTCTCTCTTTGCTTGGTTTTCTCTGGCAGCACTGAGGCAAGGGAAAAGGGACCTGTGGCTCAGTCACAGGTTCTTGGGGTCAGGGCACAAGGAACATACATAGAAGAGCTGTGTCAGACAACAAACACCCAGCTGCTCAGTGACTTCACTCTGTCAGTTGCCAGCAGGAGTCCCAGTGGAGGGAGGACGATCTAGTAGGTTCGGTTACATGATGACTGAAGAGAACCTGTAGCTGTCTCTTGGAAGATCACACCATCCTTTCTCATTACAGTTTGAATACACACATCTTCAAGACTCAAACTCTCATCAACTCTCCAAATTTCTGTGTTTAAGAAGGCTTTGCTGCAAGCTACCCTTCTCAACGGGGCATTCAACTCTGAGAATATTACAAGCCATCCTTACTGCCAAAACCAGCAAGTACAGAGGCCAGAGATGAGGCAGGACTTATGGCAATGCCCTGGCCTCCCGGAAGCATGTCTGAGCCCTCCCGTTCCCAGGGATCACAAGGAACAAGCCCTCCCGAGCTGCTCCCGCTGCTGCCTGACCTCACTCCTTCGCAGTCGTCATTTGTCCTTGGCATGGGTGCCGACCTCACTCATTCTTGGGGTCTGGGATCCAGCGTCAGGGCCTCGACACCCACAGGGTCCTCCATGCCACACGGTCACTGCTCTCCTCAGGGACCAGGACAAGGTGCTGCTGCTCGCCCCAGTGTCTTCCCATGGGACACATGCAGGCGAGTTTCGTCATCACCCTGGACAAGGCGATGTTGCCCCTTGGGCCCGGAGAGGGGCTTCCAGCTGGGGGTACGTGGGCTGGTTCTGCTGTCCTTGGCAGTTGATCCTCTTCTGGACTCTGCATTCTCCCCTCCGTGGCCCTCCAGAGACTGCTGCTGGAGCTCGATTTGATTTTCTTGGCTAGATCTGTCATTTTAAGCTCCAGTCATAGCACTTTTCAGAGCATCCTGGGTGCCACCGCGGCTGGCTGCGGCCGCTTGCGTGCCTGTGGTGGGCCTCGGCCCCAGGGTCTTTGTGTAACAAAACCCTTTGATACTGTTGTGGTTTTCTACTCTTCCAGTGTACTCCCTCTCCCAAGTCTGTTCAGAAGTATCTTTGCTCTGTTTGGCCTTTTCCTTTTCTCTTTTTTTCTAATCTTGCTCTGGTACTAGTCAATATGGGAGAAAAAGGTACATGTCAGAGAGAAGGAGGAATATGTGTCACTTCTCGGGCAATTTTTACTTTCGTGTTTCTTCTTTTGGCCGGTTCTTTTGTTTATGCCCTTGTGGCCCAGGTACTTGGGGGAGGCAGGCTGAACGACTGGCCTTTTAGTGTCTTTGAAGGAAGCCAAGCAGCAAGTGAACAGCAGGGAGAGCATCAGCGTGTTTTCTAGAGACCAAGCCCTGCTGCAGGTCCGTCAGGCCAGGCAGAGGGGCCAGGTAGGTGTAGTGAGACTGTAAATATTTTGTACAGGAAATAAATACCGAAAAGGGTTATGTAGCGAGTGACTCTTCTTTAAGTGGCGACTCAGGGCTCAAACTGGAGGTGGGGAAGGAAAAGAAAGATTTGGAAATGTTTTTGCATTTTTCCCAGTAATTCTTTCAGAAGCTCCCAGCGCCAGGTAGAACGTGCGCACAGAGCCCTGGCCTGTCCCAGCTCTTCTCGCGCCTCCGTCCTTCCCTGACCGCTGTCCCTGATGCCGGGCAGGGCCATGGTGCCTGACAGGTGCTTGCGCCCACCTCCTGAACAAGAAACCAGTGTGGCAAGAGCAGAGGGTGTCTGTTTTCATCAGTCTTTTAAACATGAATTTGTTGTTTTACTATGTAAGAAACTCAGCATAGAAAATTTGCAAATAAAAAGCACGAGAGAAAGAATTCACCTGCCATCCAGCGGTAACCACTGTTAAGCGATGTGTATAGCCTTCTGGTTTGTATACAATCACGCTTATTTCCACGCCTCCTCTCCCCCTTCCCACTCTCCCCGAAGTGGGCTGGCATAGCAGACAAAAATACTGCCTCTCAAAAAGTTTGGAGGCGAGGGGCACGTGGTACCAATTCTTTTCCAACCAAAGGTAAGCGTGGCAGAAAACCAGACCTCGGGGCCCTGGCCTTATTGCGGAAGTAATCTTGGTGTCATTACTTATTGGTTCCCAATTGGGAAAATTGGAAGATCAACAAAATTCCCTTTGGAATTGTGTTTAAAGTACTGATTTTTGCCCCATCTCCCAGACCTAGTGAATTGGAATCTTAAGTTTGAACACCACCCTTAGAGTGCTGTCACTCTACTCCCACCTCCTCAAGCTTCTGAGTGATATGAGATGTCCTTAAAAAAAACACAGTTCTGCCCCTCTAACTTCATGTTTTTAGGTTACCAGTCCTGCGTCTTTTATACTTGCTGTTCTCATGGCTTTGAGTGAGTCCCTGGGAATGGTCATCATTGATTGATTTCAGCCTATCATGAAGTTATTCTTAAGACTCAAGAGGGTGGCCGGATTGCTCTTGAATTAACACAGTAAGTGCTAACTTTAGCCTGTCATGCACTGTTACCTCTGAGCCACTGCAGTGAGCCCTCCGACCTCTGCCCAGCCACACTTCTCTGAGAACCACAATAGAGATTCTCTGACAGGTGGCTTGACCCAGAGGCTCCTTGTCTCTACTTCTGCTTCACTTAGACCCTCAAGCATAATCGAACAACTTCAGGTATTCTGTAATACTTTTATTTAAAAACAAATTTCCTTTTTTTCTTTTGAGATGTAACATATATACAAAGAAAAGATCAACAGGCATGCACAATTTAATAATTACAAAGGAAGGGCGCCTGGGTGACTCAGCCAGTTAAGTGTCCGACTTCGGCTCAGGTCATGATCTCATGGCTCATGGGTTCGAGCCCCACGTTGGGCTCTGTGCTGACAGCTCAAGAGCTGGAGCCTGCTTCGGACTCTGTGTCTCCCTCTCTCTCTGCTCCACCCCCACTTGCAATCTCTCAAAAACAAATACTTAAAAAAATTTAAAAAGAAAAAAGAAAATGACTCAGTGCTAAATTGTCTCAAAAATTGTGAAACAGGCTAATATTTCTGACTCAGAGTACTGCCTTTGTGCAACATCTAACAGAATGCCATTCCAGAGTTATTGGAGAGCTTAGTTTTTTTGGTTTGGAGTACAGAGGGTGGATTTAGAAACGCACAGGACATATTGTGATGATTTGGATTTACGCTCAATAGAGTGATACAGAGGTGCCGCCTAGAGCTAGCTGTGCCTTGCTGTGAATACTTCCGTTCCGCCCCCTACCCGGTTCAGTCCACTTTAATTCTGCTCACATAACACTTTGTGATAGCCACAGCAGGGACCTGGGCTCAGGTGTGGTCTCTACAGGATGGTCCACGGATTCCTGGTGGAAGAAGATGTGGCGGACCCAGTCAGTTGCCAGATGTCAGAGGAACGATGGCTGTAGGTTTTTGATACGGCACAGAAGTAACTTTAGCAAAGTGGTCCAGGTTGTCGGTAGAGCCCAGCCAGCTACAGCGGCTTCTTCCAACACGAGGTGGTACATCTAGGAGCCGGGATCAAACACATCACAGAACCATGATATCCATCACCTTACAAGAACAGTGTGGGGCTCCCCTTCTAGATCCCTTTGACCTTCCTTCAGGGAAAGGATGGATAATTCATCCAGGATGAAGCCTTTGGGTGGGGTTGCTACCCAGTTAGCAGACTAACATAGCTTTTATCATCTTTGGTGACCATGAATGCCTTAGACCAGGGTATGCTGGCAAACCAGGTGACTTTCTGAGTGAGTAAGGTCTTAGGACTTCATCTCTTAGGGAGAACTCTAGGAAGAAGTGAGTCTTGGACTAATCAAGGAGCTGGGTGAGGAGATAAATTTTTTTTGTATGTTTTATTTATTTTGAGAGAAAGAGCGTGAGCAGGGGAAGAGCACAGAGAGAGGGGGACAGAGGATCCGAAGCAG